TCCCCGCCCCGTTACCCGTTTAAGCGGGTTTTCCTCTCCCCGTTCGGGGCGGGTCCCCGCAGGTATCGGGTTTGGCGGGTGTTTTTGCCATCCCTAAGTGAAACACTATTTTCTTAAGATGAATTTGCTTGCATCGGTGTTAACGATTTTTTGACAATCACCTCCCAAAATACAACGACTACATCTTGCAATAGGAACACTCCAAATTATGTAGATTAATGAACTCGAATTGAATTTCCTCTCTACCATAACCATGATTTTGATGCAAAAAGGAATCACTCTACAAAGTGTTTATAAGTAAAATCAAAGTGTACAAATGGAATGGAATGAATAATAAATGTCCCAGGGACCTTTTATATAGAAGGTGACGGGGTGTGGTTGGAGAGACACGTCTCAAAACTCAACTTTTTTCATGAAAGGACGCAACTCATTCCACCACTCGCCTACTGCTCATGTGGCGTTCGAGCGGCGCAATGCAGTGAGCTATAGCTCACCGGCGCTAGCTTGCTGTTCGAGTGGCGGCCTTACATTGAATTTCAATTTTTCCTTCAAACTTTGGATCACAATTTCTCATCTATCCATAATTAATTTTTTAGATTTCAAATATACTATGACGATCTACTCGATGAGTAGAACACGTTAATCTATTTACTTTTGGAATTTGACTATCGGATCAAATCTGAAAATATAACTGAAGTTGACACAAAGTCAATTTTTAAGGTTTTACACTTAACCAATATTTTTTAAAACCAAATTCCAACAACTATAAAGAAGTGTTCAAGACCTGTTAAAATTTTTGGTGACTAACTTTATATCATAGAAATAGTTTGAGGATCACTGGTGTAATTTTCCCCATTCGAGTAAGTCCAAACTTCGGTTCTAAATGACCAAAACACCCTTTATAACATTCTTGAATAAAGCCATATAAAGCAAAAGGCGCTGGCATAAAGCAACGTAACCGGCGTGTGGGACCCTCACATCTCACATGTAAATAACAGCCCTCCGTCATCTAAATTGTGTAAAACGTTGGCCGTCCGTTCATTCTGTCTTCATTATACAAATCATGTTGCTTCACGAAACTGTAAACGGCTCGACTTGTAGCCGCTAGCTCAGCCACATATTCAAGCCATATAGGAAAATTATTTCCCATAAAATCAAGAATAATAATTGACACTTACAGTTGAGTACCTACGGTCACCTACACCGGTATTAAGCACAATTAATATTAGATAACATTATTAAAGGATGAACCGCATCCTTAGCGCTCCCACCTGCCCCGCCCTGCTCTGGGCGTTGATGAAGGAGGTAAATCACAGGTTATGCCTCTAAAAGTACAGGGTGGAAGACTGCTTGTACACTTGCACTTACTCAAGGGCCAAATCCATATTTCAGGATTTGAACCCTTGACGCGACAGCCTCAAGCGAAGTTGGAGTTTTTCCACTTTCCCCTTTTACCACTTGGAGATGTGTCCTGGGGGCATATTAGATAACATCATTACATGATCGTTTCTTTGTTTTATATTTATCAATAAGACAATATGTACTTTTGTTGGTAGTCAAAAGTATTAAAAACAGTGGATTATAATTTTTATTCGCTATTACAATTATTATTCGAGGTACGAATGACAAAACACGAAAGATGATTAGTATGACGAAACACCTTTTTGGAGAATATTAAGTCGGAAGATTTTTTAAACAGAAAAATAGAAGGTGTGTACAAAATCTTATACAAAGGTCAAAGCACGTCATATAAATCATTCATGAACCAATTGTGAGTTTGGATGTTGCAAATCTTCGTCATTTGACATGCGTACGGTGCACAACCGAGATGACGATTCACCGGGAAAAAAAGGTACATAAACAAACAAACCACGTAAGCATGGACATGCAAGAAGTTTACATGCTTCTTATCGTGCACACGTGTAGTTTTATAATTAAACCACATTACTTTATATATTAACAATTTTAAAGAATTTATTACATTTCTATTCAACTCATAACGACCATGAAAACATGTCTCGTTTCACATTTTTGAGCATGGATCCAAGGTGGGAAGGAAGACCCTATCTTCATAAAATTGAAATGTGACGACCATGTGACAATATATATAAGAATGATATGGATGGTCTATATAATCGAGTATTCAATATACAACTATAATGACCGGCGATAACCAACTTTCTCCGAGGACAATAGATTGAAACCTACAGCTAGCGCAATTTTTCAAAATGGATTTATAAAATAACATAGAATAGAAATCCATGGCTAAGGCAGCTACGAGTTTTAGGTTAAACATAAAAACAAGCCATATGCCAACCCTATATACATACAAATTTTGAAGTGATGACTTGTTCAGCTTAACACTCAAAATTCTCATGCAGGCAGAAACTTGACAACCCAAAGCAAAAATATCAAATTCCATTATAACCTTTCTTCCAGAATTTCTTACTTTTTGATACCTATATAATTTGCTCATCAAAATGAATTAATCACTTCTCATATTTATTAGTAGCTTATAATCTTGAAGTACCAGGAACATCACTTCGAGAATGTCTCTTGTAACAGCTGCTCACATGGCTTGCCTTTTCGGCATTCTTGGTATCTTTATATATATAATCAATTCTTCTATGTTAGATCTGCATATGTTTTTGAATTAATTTTTTTTTTGCAGGAAATATCGTGTCCTTCTTGGTGTACTTGGCACCGGTGTAAGATTTTGATTTCTTATTAACTCTTGTTAATTTTAACAATATCGAAAAAACACACCAACAACAATTTACAAGTTCTTTTCTTGGATTTCAGGCCTACATTTTACAGGATTTGTAAGAGAAAATCGACAGAAGATTTTCAGTCAATTCCTTATTCAGTTGCCTTATTCAGTGCAATGTTATATTTGTACTATGCCTTTCTGAAGAAAAATGTGGTCATGCTTATAACCATCAACAGTGTCGGATGCGTTTTCGAAGTTGTTTTTCTGACCATCTTCATGGTATATGCAACAAAGAAATCAAAGGTTGTTTTTATCCTCAAACTTTTGTCTGATACTTTGATAATATATATTTTTTCCTCTTTAATTCGATAAATTCGGAGTAGTTTTTCGATACTCTGTTTGATTCACGGATTGAAATATTTGATGCTAGTTTTGCTCTTTCGAATCATTCAACGGTGACAAACTTTTCCTCATTTTCAATACGTTTGAAGTTTGACACTCCATTCAATTTATGCTAACCAAATTTTTTATCTTTACAATAATTTGCAGATTTTTACCACAAAGCTTCTCATCCTATTCAATATAGGAGCACTAGGATTGATCATCGGATGCACATATTTTCTATCCGAGGGGAATAAGAGAGTGAAAATTGTTGGATCGATCTGTTCAGCCTTTTCTCTCAGTGTTTTTGCTGCTCCTCTTAGCATTATGGTAATTAATTTTTACTATCCCTTAATTGAAAATTACTAAATTTTACAAAATATTTAGCAAAAATTTCATTAATTTTTTTTAAAAATTTAATGCAGAGGCAAGTGATAAAGACAAAGAGTGTTGAATTCATGCCACTTCCTCTCTCATTATTTCTCACAATATGTGCTATCGTATGGTTCTTCTATGGTCTTTTCATCAAGGATTTATACATAGCTGTGAGTGCATTATAAGACTCCTCAAATTCATTTAAAACCCTAATTTCCGGGCTTGTTCACAATAATAATTTTTTTTTTTTTCATATACACATAAAAAAGGCTCCAAACGTTGTTGGATTTTTATTCGGAATAGCGCAGACGGTTTTATATGCCATGTACAAGAACAGAAGTCAAAAAATAATTCTACCAGAAACTAAGCTGCATGATTTATCAACTATCAAGAACGTGAAGTCACATGATCAGATGCAGAATTCATCAACGATGGAGATTTCAGAAGTGATTGATCAAAATGATGGACAAGCCCGCACAGGAACGGACTTGGATCAAAATGAAGAGAGCATCACAGAATATGTTGAAGCAAATGGCTCCATTGTGTGATGGTCACATGTCTGAGTGAAAGTATAGCATAATTATTTAAATAACATCGAGAAGTTTACGGTTAATATGTGATGAAAAACTTAATGTAATTTCATTTATTTGGTTAATTATGATCCCCCACCAAAATTCGAGCGAATTATTATTATTATTTTTATTTTTATTATAGAAAATAACAAGTCTTAATAGAAACATTTAAAGTAGAATGTATTTTCACCTAGTCTTGTTTGGTGCATCTTAAAAATTTGTTAAAAAATAAAATCGAAGTCCACAATTAATTTTAAATATATATTTTATGAGATTAACAACTTTTCAACAACACATTTCATCAATTCTATCAAAATCTACTAAAAAATTGGTCCGAATTAAAATCTGATTTTAATCCAAGTCAAAGTCAAACAATCAATATTAACCACATCTTTCATGTGTCCCACAACTTTTCAACCACACATTTCAAAAACTTCTATCAAAATCTACTAAAAATCCAATTTTCTACTACAACAAATTACATAGGCTGATGTCAAGTTTTAAGTGAAATTGCATTTTAATTTTTTTTAAATCTTCTATAAATTAAAAGTGGCCATGTAACAGAATTTCTTGTTTTTAACGGAAAAACTAACGGAATTTGTTGTTTTAACGGACTATGTAACGGAATTTCTTATTTTAAACAGGCAGTTGCACCTTCTTTTAGTGTTTTTATCATAACTTTGTATTCCGATATCCGATTGAGGCGATTCAAAATGCGTTGGAAAGCTAACTCATCTGGCTACAACTTTGATTCAGACATCATTCTCCAATTCGATCACTTTCTATGCCAAAAATAGGTCTCAATATGAGACTAAAACATCGGAGCATAACTTTTCGGTTGGAAATTGATTTGTGATCATCTTTTGACTAAATTTGATTCCATTGACGTCTTCCTTTATCCAATTGACTCCGAGCACTCTCAAATCTTCATCGTGAGGTTCGGCACAACTTTTAAGTATTTACATTTTAGTCCCCGAACTTTGGATCCCTTACAATTTAGCCATTTCTCCAAATTTGTCAACTTTTGCTTATTTTCTTCGATCTCACCAACTTACATCACAACATCAAAATCACACATCTAATTATTTATCAATTACATAAACATTACATCATTAATTATTTAATTAACCAAAAAAATTACATCTTTATTAATAACAAATTAATTCTTAAACAAAACTATTAAATATAAACTAGGCAAACGTGCATTGCACGTTGCTTGCACCTAGTATATATAAAAAGTGCCTATGAAACGGAAATTCTTGTTTTAACGGAAAATCTAACGGAATTGGTTGTTTTAACGGAAAATCTTTTTTCACCGTTAGTTTTATTGTTTCCATTAAATAGCAATTAAGCCACCGTTTGTGGCAATTGATGTTGTGTCTGTTGGAATTCCATTATCTAATAATAAATGAATGGGAAATGCAAAATGCTTTGTACTACTACATTTTAGTCACTAGGAAAAAATTAAACTAAAAAAACAAAATGGACGTGGAGATTATCAGTTTAAAAATGCTAATAATTTATTTGGTAAGGTACATTGAACTTAATGAAGAAAAAATATTTATTTATTTAGTTTTGTATTGTAATGTAATGTTATCTATTATTTTATTATGTACAAAAGGTTCATGATTAAGTGCAAAATTTGATATAATATAATAGTACGAAACACAAACTTATACATTTTTTTGTCTTTACACTAACATTCATTGTAAAAATTGATTATGATTTAATGTAGAAAGCAAAATTCTGGATATGGGCGAAGATAAATGTGATTGAGTTTGTCCAAGTATTTTATTACATGTCATGCGTTGACTGTAATAAAGGAACTGGATATAAATACAATGAAAGCTTCGTTTGTATATATTGCAAAAGCCAATGGGTCTACAAACCACGGTATGTATCTTACAATTTTAATTTAAAATTGATGTCTGATTTAATTTAGAATTTAACACTATTCAAATTAAAATTAATATATTCAACGCATTTAAAGTGTTAGGGGATATGTTCAACTGGACGATAATACTGGAAAACTAGCTGCTACTATGTTTGGTGAAGTAGCAGAACATGCACTTGGTTGTTCAACAGTTGAATTGATGGGACATGCTGGAGAGGTATTTCTTAAATTTTTCTTCAAAACTTGATTTTTATTATAATGAGTTATTTAAAAATAATTGGGTTTTTTTTATTAATTATGTAAACATATTCAAAATTTATTTTGTAGGAAAATCGACCATATGTTAAAAGCGTTGCAGAGAAATTATCAAAAAAAATTTGGAAGATTCAAGTTTATGTAGATCTAGAGAAACTAAAGGAGAAAAAATATAGGCAGTTTAATGTCCTCTCTATTGAAGCAGTGCAAGATGAGGAAAATGCTGAATCGTTATCTTAGAATCAAAATTATCTCAAACAGCTTTCATAAAATTATGAGCGATGTTTATATATAGGACGATGCTATAGATTCTATTAATGCTCTTTTTTTAATAAATCATAATGTGTAATTATTTATCAATTACATAAACATTACATCATTAGTTATTTAATTAACCAAAAAATTACATCTTTATTAATAAAAATTTAATTCTTAACCAAAAAAATTATATATAAACTAAGCAAACGTGCATTGCACGTTGCTTAAACCTAGTACTATAAATAACTGTGTAAGACATTCACTAGTTGCAATACCAACACAAGATTTCAGTCAAGTAAAACTTGACCAAGAAAAATAATTGACACGTCTAATACAAGGGACGAAATCAAAATCAAACGTAGTTATATACATGTATATATATGTTGAAGTTCACCATAAATTTATCCACCTGCATGTCAACAGTATTTAGTATAAGATGAGTATCGGTACTCAATAGATCATTCGTACACACATATATGTTGTTCATTTTATCAATGAATTTGACAAATAAATTTGATAAATAAGCTTAACACTTAACATAAGCTAGTGTAACATTTTAGATCTATATTGGGGGGTGTGTTTGAATGTGAAGATAGTGATTTTAAACTTAGAATATTAGATTAGCTTAAATTAAGATTAAAGTTATTTGTCATATTTTTATTTATATGTAAAACATGCTACAAATCGAAAAGCGAAATTCTAAACAAAATGAGTGCTAATCATTTGCTTCTCCAATTACTAATTTTTGTATCAATGTCCTAAGCTCATATTGGGCTGGCCCAACAGAGTTGTATTGAAGAGTTTGGCAAGACGCCCAACGATAGAGCTAAATGTCGAACCATTCCCCTTGTACACGCAACACGCACAACAACGTGCACCTGTATGGTGTTTTTTTGATATTTTTTGACAAGGTTGAATGAAAATTTGCCAGGCGTTAACCTGTAAAAAATCTTTGAATATATTTTTTTTTTAAATTTACACTTAGCATTGCTCCTGAAAGTTCGCGCATGTAATGTATTTATAATTAGACATTTAACATCGTTAATTTAGAGGCGGAATTGCAAGAGCGGACTAAGTTTCAGTATTCCTTCTCGAGCTTCTATTGCTTCTTGAAAGGAGATTAGAGAAAAGATGGAATAGGAAGATACGTCTTTAAAAAGAACAAGATAAGGGAGAGTTAGCAAAGTTAGATAAGATTGAAATGTGCATAGGAAAATAGTTGTTTGTTGCATTTGAAATAATCTGTTCAGTGAAGTTCCATACTATTAGTTTGCATTTTTTTAAAGACAAATATAATGTGGATAATGGTTCTAAATTGGACATTCCATATTATCTACAAAAGAGAGTGAACTTGGAGCCTTTTTTCTTTTCCCTACAAAAGAAACCATCTAAAAGAAAGATTTATTTTTCCATCTTTTTTTTATGTATCATTCATTATGCCCTATAGCTTTGATCTTGTAGAATTTTAGAAGATTGTTCTACCCATACTAAAATACGTATTTATTAATAGTAAAGGATAATAGCCCCAAGAAGCTTGAAAGAACTATTTACCAGTTGTCCGTGCATTATTCACTGTACTCCTGTATTGGATCTACAATCATGCAACATGAACATCAAATTACATAAAGCTCGATATAATGTCACGCGGCATTTTATCGTTGGACAATTTAAAATACAATCATCTACTGCCACGTGCAATTACGTCAAGCTATCATTCTGGCAAAGTAGCTTTATCCTAATAATTTTTCAATATCAGTACATAATTCAAAACTTTAAGGTTTTGCCCAGGTTTTTTTGGCAGTTCTGTGTTCTTGTATTTAGACAGATTCAGATTAAGGCAGCTTCGCTATTGGATTAGTTTTGGTTACAATTCTTCTTCAATTTTGGCCAGACTCAAGGGTGGGTTGCTGTTTTAAATTGTGGTTTAGACCAAATTTTTTTGGCAGATCCCGAGTGCTTGTTTTTGGAAATTTGTTGAAACAGGAGCCTATTTCGTGTGTCTTGTTTTCTGTTTTTTTTGTTAGAATCTATAACCAATTGGAGCCTATGTCGGTTAGTTTGTAACTGAAATGAGGCTCCTTGTATGTCTATAAATAGGAGCCTTGGGTAGTGTTATGGAGAGAGCTCGAAAATGAGAAAAGGGGAGCTCTGGAAAGGGAGAAGCTCCTGAAAAGGAGCTCTGGACTGAGAGAATTCGGTGGAGAATTCTAAAGCTCTGAATATTGAGCTTGAGAGAGAGAAAGAAACTCTGTAACTCTGTAGTAGAAAGTGTAGTTTGGAGAGGAACTAATCTGGAAATTCTTTCTACTGATTCATGTAATTGAATGTCAAGTTTTCTTGGTTAATAAGAAGCTTGAGGAAGAGGATTTTCTTCCTGTTACTATATTCTGTCTCTGTTTCCAAATCTGTTCCTGTCTTCCTACTGGTTATTTTTCTTACAAGGATTTCTTCCTGTCACAAAATTCCGTGTTGCTGGTTTTTCCTTTCCTGCTGTGTAGCTGCTATTCTACTGGTGTTCTCTATCTGTTCTGAGTTTTTTTCTTCTTGCTGGTTATAATTCTGCTGTGTT